AATTAACCCATTTCTCTTGGTCTAGCCTGATGCCAGTAGAAGAACTCAGCTCTTGTAACCATGGAGCCAGTTTCACAGAGCAGTGTGGCAAGTGGTAGGCTCATCCAACCTCCTCAAAGTGTTCTGTAGCTTGCTTGAGATTGCAGCTTTTATGAAGTTGTTCATGTATTTTTCAGTGTACAGCTTTCCTTTTTTGTGTATTGTATGCTCCCTTCTCTGTTGTGCCCTGTACCCTTCAAGGATGCTCAGCCTCAATTGTCCCACTTACTGCATCGACAAGACATTGATGCTTTGACCAACCAACGCTACCATGCCCTTCTGCTGAGTTAAAAGCATTTTTTTCTTTTCCAAACTCCCTAATTTCATAGGTCATATAAGTGAACCACCTCTTAAATCAGCTCTTTTTTCTCTCCTAGCTATTCTATCTCCCTCAAGTAAATGTGTTTGTCTCTTCTCCTTGCTTCTTGGAATCTTAGAGGGAGCCAAAGTCTTAGAATCACAGATTGGGCTTCTATCTCAAGGTTTTTGACAGGAAATGATCTGGCATCATTCCTGAATCCAGTTTCCTACTAGTATTACTTAGCTTTGATCCTGGAGAAGGAGAAAATATTGCTATAATTTGAAATTTTATGTTTTTTAGTTCTGTCTCCCTATCGGTATTCCTTATATCTTCTCTGGGACTTACATTCTAAATCCTTCCTGTAGGCTAAGATTGGGCAGCTTTGTCAGGTATTCATACAAATGCTGCATATCAGTAGTAGTAGTTATAGTAATGGTAGTAGTGGTGGTGGTGGTGGTGGTGGTGGTGGTAGTGGTAGTGGAAGTGTTCATAGTAATACTATTATCAATAATAATAGCTTGTTTTTATATAGTGCTCTAAGTTTGCAAAGTGCTTTACAAATATTATCTCATTTGATCTTCAAAACAACCCTGGGAGATAGGTGCTATTACTATCCCCATTTTACAAAAGGGAAAATGGGGACAGAGAGAATTTAAGTAATTTGCCCAGGATTACACAGCTAATAAGTATTTGAGGCAGGATTTGAACTCAAATCTATCCATTGTATCATTGGGCTGATTATAACTCTTGAGGGTAAAGATCTCCTTATGGACGATTAATAAAGCTGGATTCTTCTTCTTGATAAGTCATGGAGTCTTGACTGTGTGTTCTTACAGAAAATCCCTTCATCTCTCAGTGGCTCAGTTTCTTCACATATGAAAAAAAGCTTGATTCCCATTGAAAAGGGATTATTAAATGCCCCCATGGTAACAGGATGGAAAGCACTATGTTATGCAGCCAAGACTGGGATTTCTCAGCTGTTTGCTTTACTTTTTGTGGTATTTGAGGTGATTATTAGAGTGTCAACTTTAGAAATTCTCCAGTTTGGAAGACTTGGCCAAGCAGTTGGACTTGCTGATAATAGTCTTATGTGGAGAGAAAAGGATTGGCAGTAATAGGGATCTTGGGATTGAGGAACAAAGAGCAAGGGCTATTTCATCAAAGAAATGGGAAATTTAAACCACAAGTAAGGTTTTTTCCCCCAAATGCTGTGACTAGAAACCTCTGGATACCTTAAAACAAATCTAAAACCCAAATTATACTATGCCAAGGCCACAAGCCACAAAGGTTCAGAGCACAGGTGATACAAATAGCATAAAACCCTCCCATAAGGAACAGCATCTCCTTAAGCCACAGTGAGGTCCTTGTGTCCAGGGGCGGGAAGGACTACTAGGGGCAGTGGATCTGGGCAAGGAAGCCGACTCTATCTTTCCTGTTACACAGGAATATTAGCTATGGCAGATGTGGGTTGAATGGTAAATGAGGTAGACTTCCCCTTGCATTGGTGGGTGACACACTTCCAGGCCATTTCTCTCCAGCATATCTGCTTATCATAATGAAAAGCCAAATACTGGGCTAGAGGGACATAAACTGGCCAGGAGATCACATAGAATGACCTAGGACAAGGGAAAATACATGGGTTAAAGGAGATACACCTCAGAGAGGACACTGTAGTAAAGACTTAGGACAGTCAGACTCCAGTGTTGGGAAGAAAAAGGAGGAAGCCCCTCTCTTCAAGTCCTCATGTGTAATGTGTGCTTGATAAATGTTTATTGATTTGAATGGAAGCTTCCATATTTCTTAAGTAGATGTGTCACTGTTACAGAGCTTGGCTGAGTATGACAGAAGGAATTAGGATGGCCTTAAGTGAGTTTTATGACTATGATACTCGCAGTAGACAGAACTGATACCCAGTTGGATTAATGAATCAGTCTACTTCAGGGATCCTCACTAAAGGGATCCATGCTATTTTGAGTGTTATGATATTCACCTTAATAATTTGGCCTCAAGGAGAAGAGGAATGTGGCCCTTTGGGATTTTTCAGCCCCATAGCAAAAAGTTCTCAGGGAAAAGTCATAATCTGCAGAGGTTTGGTTAGGCCAAACAAAAGAGTAAAGTATTTATGTACATAATTGAATCAGAAGTCAATGGACACCTCTCAGATTTCTCTAGAGAATGAAAAGTGTATCTCCAGTTTGTTTGAGAATGAATATTGTTTCATCTTGAGACTGTACTGCACAGAGCACTGGCCCTTGAGTCAAAGAAACCTGAGTTCTAATTTGACTTCAGACACTAGCTGTGTGACTGTGGGGCAAGTCACTTAACTTCTGTCTGCTTTAGTGCCCTCAACTATAAAATGGGGACAATAACAGCACCTACCTCCTAGGGTTGTTGTGATGATCAAATGAGATAATATTTGTAAAATATTTAGCACAGTGTTTAGAACATAGTAGGTGTTTAATAAATGCTTGTTCCTTCTTTCTTTCCATCATGGGTCAGGAGGTTTATGGTGGGCATAACAAGGCTCCAGCATATTACTAACAATGACTTGCATGAAAGAAGTGGCATAAAAGATACAATCCAGGAGACGTATAAAAAGAAAATGAGGTGGGCTGATCATAGAGTGATAATGGATGGATAATTCAAGTGCTACACTCTACCTATGTAATGTTAAAAAAGACCTATGTAATGTTAAAAGAGAGAAAAGCCTCCAAGTGTTAAGTAATCCTCATAGGGGATTTATGAGAGGACATAGAGAAGAGTCATAAGATGAGCAGGAATGGATTGCAATCTTCACCCCTGACACAATGACATCACAAATCCATTGAATTATTGAAGTAAGCCTAAGAAAGGAAATCAGGAAAGGAAATCAAGCCAGGGAAATGATATGAAACAGGACGTTTGTCTTTCTTAGAAATTCGATTCACTCAAGTCAGCTCAACAAGCATTTAGTTAGTGCTTGTAGGTGCCAAGCACTGTGCTAAGCACCAGGAATACAAATATAAGCAGAAAAATACACCTTGCCTTGCAAGGAGTTAAAAAGGAAGAGAGAGGGGGGTGAGTAGAGAAAGTCAGGGAGATTCAGGAGTGCAGCCTGGAGAAGAGTGAAGACGTGGCTGGCCTGGGCATCCTCCTTAGAATGAAGATTCTGAGAGGAATCAGGTAATCAAGAGGAAGAAGAAATTTCCAATGCGAGAAGGCCAGGGATGGAGCAAACTCCCAGAGTGAAAAGGTTTCTGGGACATTCGTAGTTGAGAAAGTCTGGAAGATTTTCATTCAGATAGTTATGAAACATCAACTATATGCAAAGCACTATAGAGGGTTAGCACTCTCTGTGTATAGATAGAAAATGATGTACAATCAAGTTATTTTTCAATCCCATGAAGTGTGGATTGCAATTTTAGAGAGGCTGGAGGTGAAGAGACAGAAAGGTCATCGCAATAGCCAGGCGAAAGGTGATAAGAACCCAACCCAGGGTGGTGACCATAGAAGCAGAGAAAGTCCAAGGTGTTTATGACAGAGATTTCAGAGCCAGAATAGGCAGGATTTGTCTGTTGATTAGATGTGAGGGAGAGAAGGGTATGGGGAGAGCCAAAGTTTCAAAACTAACCTGAAGAGTGGTAGTGTCACCAAAAGAAAAAGGCAGGCATGGAGGAAAGGATGGTAGGATCATAGATGTAGAGCTGGACAGGATCCCAAAGGCCACTGAGTCCGACTCCATCATTTTACAGATGAGGAAACAGGTCTGGAGAAGCTCAATGATTTTGTCCAAGGTCACACAGAGAGTAAGCATCTGAAGTAGGATTCAGAACCAGGTCCTCTGTAGGGGCAGTACTCTTTCCATTGGTTTGGGAAAAGAGATGAGTTCAGTTTGGGAACATTTTGAGTTTGAGGTGCTACCAGAATATTGGGCAGAAATGCCATAGGTCTTCATTGATCATAGGATCGATCGTCTATTTAGACCTGGAAGGGCCTTTGGGAATCGTTGAGTTAGACCTCTTCAACTTATATACAAGGAAACAGCTCCCCAGAGATTAAGTGGTTTGCTTAGGGACACAATCTGACCTTTCTGACTCTATCTACTTAGTTTCCTAATCCAGGATAGGAACTGAGAGGAAGGGGAAGGGTTGTAGATAACTCTAATTATCTACCTAAAAGTGATCACTGAGGCATTAGGAGTGGATGAAATTGGCAAGGGAGAGAGTGTGAAAATCTCTAGAGAGCAGACAACAAAAGCCCTGGGATTGAGTCTAGACAAGTAAACAACTGACCGTCCCAAGTTAGCCTGCTTCCTAACTCAGCCCTTCTTAGATCTCAAGCAAGCATGTCTCTTTCCTTCTTCGACAGCACTGTTTATAACAGTAGCAGGAAGCTTCCTCTGAAGACTAGTTCTAACAAGGTAATACAGCGATTTCTCAATAGAAAAGAATGCCTGTGGAATCTCTAGGAAGAATGACAATCTGTCTTCCCTTCTTGGAAGAGTATTTATCCCCACCAGTGGTAAAACCCTCTCTAAGTTTGAAACATTCCTAGGAGATCTGCATAACCTCAAGATCTCCCCACAAATAAGATGGGACAGACTTCCTATTCAACACATGGAGTCCAATCAGGAAAGATTTGGCTTTGGTTTAATTTCCACTTTTTTTCCTCCTTTTTTAAGAGCAAGACATTCCCTACGCAGGACTGAGTGTGGGTATGTGGCTGGTTGGCCAACTGTGCATGTTCCAGCAGAGTGATCTTTGTGATTCTGTTTGTGATTTGTGCCTGTGGTAATTTTGATCTTTTCTACCTGCTTTTCTGTGCTGTTGCTATGGGTACTTTCCATGTCTTTGCAACGGGTCTTATATGTGGAGTAATTCTCTCATTTTAAATCAAAATTAACTTACCAATCAGACATTTCACCGAATGAAAGTTTTAATCAGTAGTATATATCCAAAGAGTCTCTCTCCTAGGCTCACTATTGTCCAGGATGTGAAGCCGTCTCCTAAAGATGTGCTGGTGAAGGTTGGGTGAGCCAAAGATAAACTGTTGATCAGGTGTATAACCTTGGGAATGGGCTGCTCATTGTTCTGTGTATGCTTGAAATTCTGCTTTGTAATCTTTTATTAATAATCAGGCATGGAAATTGCAGAATATTATTGAATCTGGCAAATGAGTCAAAGTAAAAAAAAATATGATACATATAATTCTGTAGTATCATTAAGTCTGTAGTTGCCTCCTTTCAAATGCCTCACTAGAGGATATCTAATTGTGTCCTGCTAAGGCAAGGCACTGGAATCAAATGTTTTCCCAATTTATTTCTCTAACTGTGAGTGATTCATCTTCATGTCTATTTATAGTAAGATTAAGTGGAGGGGAAGGGAAGGACCAGGTTTAAATGCTGTGTGTTGATTCTTTCATCACCAGGAGTCATCCTCTCTGTGGCAATAGCTGGTGTTTTAGGAGTCTCTGTCATCCTTGCATTATCAATTTGGCTTCTCCGACGGAAGAAGAGGTGAGCTGGTTTGGTGTCATCCTGTTCCGATACTATGGAAAGGCTAAAACAGATTCCATTTCTCTACAGATGGTACTTACACCACAAAGCCTAGCTTATCTTGGCACTAGAATACATGTCAGAAATCCTGTGAAGTCCAGTGAAGGTTAGGTATGGGGTGGGATAAAGGGGACTTCTTCATAAACAAATGCAGATTTCTTATAAGATAACAGATTTAGGTCTGGAAAGAACTCCAGAACCATCTAGTTCCACCTCCTCATTCTTCAGAAGAGGAACTAAGATCCAGAGGTTTGGGGATGTAGCCAATGTAACAGAGGTACTAAGTAGCAGAGTCTGGATTTGAACCCACGTCCTCTGACTCCAGTGCTCTTTTCACGGTGTTCTTTCAGGAGAAAATGACCCAATACCCATGACTACAAATCTGACACACTTTATACTATCCCACGCTGCCTCTCCGACAGGAGAGAATGATTGTGCCCGTAAAAAGGAATGAGAGGGCTTGGTCAGTCCTATTTTAGGGCATCCTATGTCAAGCCTAGCCATTCCGGTCATAATTGGAAGAAGGCATGGCCTCCCCTAGAACGCTAGCTTCATTCTTACATCAGTCCTGGTGCTTGCAGTTCTCCTCTTAGCTGACTTGACTTGTGTTTTCCTTGTTCCAGCAGCAAGAAAGAAGAAAATAAAGGAGTTATTTACAAACCTGCTGTTAAGACGGAGGCTGATATCAACCCCTAAGAACCCTCGACTCCTCTGAGGTCCTCATCCAAGGGAAGAGCCTTTGCCTTGGACAATTTGGGGCTGCTAGGCATTCTCCAGAGCAGATCAACCAAACACTCCCATTGGTCTTGTTATCTTGATGTGACTTAAGTACTGAGTTAGGTGTAAAAAATCATCCCCTTAAGTTTTCACTGTTGGTAGCTTCAATAGCAAGAGTTTTCCCATCAGGAAGCATGAACACTGTGCCATTTGGCAAATTGAGGCGAGATATTGAAATGATCCGGATTCTGGAGCCACACGCTCAGGCACACCCTGGTGCCCAGAGCAGAATCGTCTGCCAGTCCAGCTAGATTAGCCCAACCACATTCTGCTGAGGAACCTCTACAATACCTTAAAGATTACTGTACAGGGTCACCAGACCACGTATCAGGGACTTACATAGCACGCTATGCTCTTGCCACCTCCTTTCAAAAACAGAGTGTAGTTAGATTCTGTTTTTTACTACCCTTTCCTTTAATTACCTGCATAGCATTGAAGAGTGTTAAAATTAGAGCCCTACAAGAGGCAGAGGATAGACCTCCAACTTTAATCACAGACTTGACATTTTCACTAACAACTCTCATTTTTATAGCCTTTTAAATCTCACGACAAAGAATGTATTTGTCAGGGAATGCATTTGTCCCTTAAACCTCGCTTGAAAGGTCTGTGACCCTTTTGTTGTCATGGATCTAGAAACCCCAGAGGTCATCTAGTCCCGCCCCCTAATTTTACAGTTAAGGAAACTGAGGCCCAGGGAGATGAAGTGACATGCAAAGTGACCCAGGTAGTAATGGTCCTAGGCAGGATTTGAATCCAGGTCCTCTGACTCCAAAGCCAGTTCTCTTTCCTCTATATTCCTGTTAGGCTAAAATAAATAGTCACTTTTCAAGGTTTGGTTTGTGGGAATCATTTCCACTCTAGTTAGGAAGAGCTGTCTTCCATTCCACTCCTTTTGAACAATGACAAAATATTCACACATATCATAGCAAAGAGAAGAAGTGGGGCAAGAAAAGTTACGCTCTCTTACTCAAAAGGCAAACTGGATATTAATATCTGCATGCTAATTAATTGTAGACCTTTTCAGAGTAGAAGCACCGAGTCAGGGATGCTGATCCTGGCTTTTGACAACAATGTGATCAGGTGTGGGAGGGGGTAGATGAACTTGAGATGGATAGTGGTGCTCAACCTAGGAATTTTAGGTTGCACGCAAATTTTCATGTAAGTTCTGAGTATTCAGTTATTCAAAAGCATTTTCCAAGCCCCTGAAAACTAAAAATTAGCTAGGTACAGCCCTACCCAGGATACTTTCTGGTAAGACAATAACGTTTTGTGTTTTTCAGACTTAAAAAATAGGCATATACTTTGGACTCTAGAAAGATAGTTTGGGATAGTAGATAGAGGGGTGGTATCAGGCAGGATGATGGCGTTCCAATTCTGCATCTGTTACAGATGAGTTGTTTGAGTCAGGGGAGACCCAGACAACTCTCTAAGACTTGAGAGTGCTTACTATCTGTATTGGGACAGGATTTCCTCACCAGGAGTTCCTTACACAGAAGAAATCAAAGGTTCTGAGCAAAAATAAAAAACAACCAGGGCAGCTAGGTGGTGCAGTGGATAAAGCACTGGCCCTGAAGTCAGGAGGACCTGAGTTCAAATCTGGCCTCTGACCAAACACTTGACACTTACTAGCTGTGTGACCCTAGGCAAGTCACTTAACCCCAATTGCCTAAAAATTAAAAGAAAAAAAAATAAAAACAACCAACCAAAAATATTTGTTCTAACATCAGAATGGGGTGGGGTAGGGTGTAATTTACTATTGCTGTTTGCTATGCTAGAGCAGAAATGAGATCAGATGGGGACTCAGATTACCTTTGGATCTTAAGGAAAAAGACAAAAGCAAAGAGTTGGTAGAGTTTTATGACCAGAGCCTGATGTCATGTGTCTTTGTGTTTCACTGAGACATAAATGCAGGGGGCAGCTAGGTGGCCCAGTGGATAGAGCTCCAGCCTTGGAGTCAGGAGAATCTGAGTTCAAATGTGACCTCAGATACTTGATACTAACTAGCTTTGTGACCCTAGGCAAGTCATTTAACCCCGATTGCCTCACCAAAAAAAAAAGCAATAACAACAACAACAAAAGAGAGATAAATGCATCTCCAACAAACACATCCACAAGAAATATCAAACTTCTTTAGTTGTGTTCTTGGACTCCAGTCAGTTAACACATCTGTGGGCATTTTCTTGAGTGCACCAACCAAATATAGCTATTGCACTTGTCCGGTTCACAAGGTTCTTTCTGAAGGGGTCAGTCATCCCCTCTCATTTTCTCCCTCAGAGTAGTGACAGTGACAATGTGTGACAGGAGTTCAGTCACAGAAGCCTACATTTAGGCTAACTCCCCACCCCTTCATGGGCCCCCAACATAAGTAATTCCTGAGACTTCTTTTCTCCCATTTCCTCTTTGCTTGGCTGCCAGCGTTCTTGCTGACCAGTGGGACTTCTCAGGACTCAGCAGCTCAGTCTTGCTAGGAAGACTTGGGAATAACCTGTCATTCTCCACAGAGCTTGGACACCTAGCTGCTCTGGACACCACCACATTCTTAATGAGGCCTGTTGTGTAAGAACCCAGGAATTGAGGAAGATATAGGGATCCAAGGACTGTTATTTAGCAGTTTAGTAGACTCTTAATCTTGCAATTTGACCCTTTTTACCCTGTTCTGGAGGAATAGCAGTTACAGTTTTTTTTAACGAGCAGTGTGAAACCAATGAGATGGGATTGCCTTGTCCCAAGGCAGCCCATCAGAAGTGAGCACAATTACTACACAGCAGAGTGAGGGCCCTTTAAAATATTCTTTACACACTTTATAGATGGGTTTTATGCCGGGGAACAGAAAAATCAATCATTGTATCTGGCATAAGAGCTGTTCATAAAATAGAAAACTTACTGTTTGGTGGAGACATAGCAGCATTTTTTCCTTTTCCTTTTCTTTCTAAAAACTCTGAATGCATGGCCCCAAAAGAGATCAAACCTCACAGCAATGATAAACCAAAGGAAATGGAAATCAGGTTGCAAAAAGTCAAAACCTCCCTTCCTATCCATCAAATCCCTCCTGCAGGTAGGCAACAAACTTAAAAATCTTTTTTTTCTTAAAAATATCAATTTTTTTAGCTCCAAGGAAAGACATATGATAATGAATGAAGATAATATATTTAATTTTACCCTAAAACTATCACTGGGGTTCAATGTGTCCAAAGCAACTTCCCAAGATTTCATCCTCCTTATGCTTCCCACTGATTACAAGGATCTAGATCTCTCTGCCCAGTTTCTCCAATGATATCTGATTGAAATGATGAAAAACCCTATCATTTCCATTGCTACCTTTGTATTATGAGTAATTTAAATGAAAATTTACATTGTAAATACAAAAGATTACAAATGAAATATTTTCCATTTCAACCTTTGGGATCTGAAAATAAATATTAGTTCAGCACCTACCAAGTGTGAGGGACAGTGCTAGATTCTGGTGATACTAACCCAAAATAGAATCATCCCTGCCTTGGAGTACATTCTACTGGGGAGAGAGTCAGGATATGATATATACACAGACAAATATACATATATACATATATATATATATCCCTACTTATATACCATATAATTTGGAAAGGAGAAAATATTAACAACTGGGGTCTGAGGGTAAGATTAGGCAAAGTTTGAAAGAGGATGTGTTAAACACTTAAATAATCAAGATGACTGTAGACTTTCAGGTCTACCTTGCTGCCCATTGTTATCAACACTAAGGTCCTGCATATTGGCTCAAAAGCAGTAATTACAGATATACTTTCCTTTGTCCAGTCAGATAGCTCATATTTTTGGAGACCTTCTCTGTGCTCAGTGCTGTCATTTTACCCAATCCAACCACAACAACATCTAATTACTGGTAAATTGACTGTCTTAGAGAATCACAGAATCTGAGAGTTGGAAAGAATAGTAGTAACTTTTGCACAGAGCTCTAAAGCTTGCATTGCAATTTACATTCTTAATTTTTCACTGACCCTCTGTTTTACAATGGAGGTGTCAAACACTGGCCTACAATACTCCTAGCTGGAACTAGATTAAAATGTAATTGGGAAATATTTAACTAAATAAATAAAAATATAAGAGAACATGTATAATGTCAACATATGATTTTCTAGGGGCAGCTAGGTGGTGCAGGGGATAGAGACTGGGCCTGAAATCAGGAAGACTCTTCTTTCTGAGTTCAAATCTAGCCTCAGATACTTACTAGCTGTATGACCCTGGGCAAGTCACTTAACCCTGTTCGCCTCAGTTTCCTCACCTATCAAATGAGTTGGAGAACGAAATGCAAACCACTTGCCAAGAAAACCCCAAATGGGGTCACAAAGAGTTAGACATGACTGAAACGAATGAACAAATCCTGAAGAGGTTATGCAAATCATTTTTAGAAAGGTTTTATATAGATTAAAAAATAGGTTTATGGGTCAATAGTCATCAATTGATGGGTCAGGAGTGATTGTTCTCTCCATTGTTTTTGGGGAATATTAATACTGTCTGTGATTATTTCTATTCTTCTGGAATCTTCTCTTCCTTAAGGTATCTTGTAACATGATTCTTCAATGCCTACAGGATTGTACTGTCTCCAGCATGGATTCTTTCACATGTCTGCCAGGTCCAGCTGTTCGTTCTAACTATACCCTTTTTACTTTTTATTTGTATAATACATCAGCGACTGAGGTGTAAGGGCCCAAACCTGGTGATTGCCTTACTGCAGATAATGAAAATTTATTCCATTTTATGGGATGATTTGGCTCAGGTGGGTCTCTTGCTAATTCTTCTATAGATGTTTTTAATTCTACTCCTCTTTGCTGTTTTAGAAGGTGCTGTTATCTGGAATCTTTCATCATCCTTCTCGATAGTAGTTAACAAATGAGTTACCAGTTTTGCCATTGGCTGCCATGTCTTTTTAATTGGTGAAAAGATTAAGGATTTGCTGGTTAAAGCAATTTCTAGGCTCTTTTGGCTCATTCAATGCGGCTACTGCTTTATATTGGTTACATTTATTTGCAGGAAATTGTAATAATCAAGGTCAGTATTTTTACCTTCACCATTTTTCCATGCTGATGACTTTAATGTATCAGTGCAAGCATGTATCTGCGAGATTGAAGACAGAATAAAGAGTGTGAGGCCATTTATGGTACTTTTTTTTTCTTACTATGGCCTACTTTATAAACTCTAGAGGTCTTTATCCCAACTCCCCATCACACTGGCATGCCATGTTCCCAGAGCTCAGCAAGGCTACATTTCTCCTCAGGATTCTGGGGGTAGACCTGAGGAGTTATGAGTTCTTCGAAAGCTATCAGCTTGAGGTTCCATTCTGGTGAGTTCTCCCTAATATCAGTCACCAGACATCTCTTTGATATCCTTGCTACTATTGATTACCGCCTCAATATCAATCAGCTTTTATCGAGAGATAATTACTGAGCAGATATAGCAAACAACAAAGCACAAAAATGTCCCCCTGAGCCAGGGACACTCTCCATTTTATTACCTCAGTCCATGGGGATTGTTTGCTGTTTGGTCATTTCAGTTGTATTCGACTCTTTGTGAGCCCATTCAGGGTTTTCTTAGCAAAGATACTAGAGTGGTTTGTCATTCCTCCTCCAGCTCATTTTTTAAAAAAATTTTTTAATTTTTTCCCCAATTACATGTTAAAACAATTTCCAACTTTTTTTTGTTTTGAATTTCAATTCTTTCCCTTTGTCTGTTCTCTGCCCCCTGTCTGAGATGGTAAGCAATCCAGTATAAAGTAGGGCAAATAGAGTTAAGTGACTTGCCCAGGATCACACAGCTAGTAAGTATCTGAGGCTG